CTAAAAATGCTGGCTTAAAAAATGGGATATATAGGGCATTGGCACAAGGGGCTAGATTTAGTGAAATATGAAATCTGATTGATACTAAAAAAATAATTTAACTTATAAGCAGGTTGTGTTCCTCTTACTTTCTATTAAAGAGCAATATTAAACCCCCTCCTTAGGCTCACAAATAGCTTTACTTGGTCTTGAATACTAATGGCAACTCTGCTCAATATTCTACAGATTATTCATGACAACTGGCCATATCCAAATACTTTTCAGTCTTCACATTTCTACAGCTTCTTCTTAGAGAAGATTAGGTAAGTTTATAATGACTAGAACCATCATGCAACACTTTTCATAACTTGTCTGAAATATACTACTATAATTTAATTTTTGTTGATCATTATTTACTTCGATTTTTCATTATCCCTAAATCTGCTAACTGCCATCAAAGCTGACTTTTGATGAAGATACAGGAAGATCAAATGAATGGGTCTGAAATTGATGTTACATAAATATATAGTACTATTTCTTTCCATTTCTAGAGAGCAAATATAAGACTACCCCTCTTTTATTTTCTTTGTTAGTTATTTCATATGTATTAAATTTCATTTAATGGATGCATTTTGCATAGGTTCTAGGCTACAAAATAAGCAGTTGAATTACTACATAAGAAATCTGAATTGCTAAATAGCAGATTAAACCATTCTAGGAAATTTTAAAAATATCTTTTAGTTCTGATAGGTGCAGAAAATTTATTATATATTAAATCTTAAGAGTCAGCTATACTCAGAAATATTACAACTTACAATGATTTTTACATGTTGATGAGATTTGTCGAAAATCAAAATGAAATAGAAAATTAGCTTTAAGGTTTCACACAAATGTGTACCAGAAAGTTCTATTTATGATAAAAATAGGTAAGACATTTTGTTAGTATCCTTGCACAGAACACCTAGTTATAAAACAAAAAATACTTCATTAGCTGAAAAAACAACGTAAATGCATGAAAAATGCCTTTATATGATGAAGCATATATATGCCAGATTTTGTCTACAATGTGGATGCCATGATAAACTAAATCATCAAACTTTTAGGAAGGTTGAAAAAAATGTTGTTGTGAAACTGATTAGTAATATCTTGCAAACATTAAAAATAAATCTCTTCATTTTATGTACGAGGTACAGATGGTGTTGGCTGTCATCGAAGTAGGAAAAGAAAAAAGGTTTTTCCCTTTCGCCTCGTCACGTGAACCGATTGAGATGTTTAATAACTTGAGGGGATAGTAAAATGTCCCGGAAATTGTTATAATGTATATATTTTAGTATAATTGTATTATGTTGTAGTGTAGATAGAATATAATTAGATGAATCAACTTCTTCAAGTTTTTATTTCCCATGCATCAGCATTGGTTTCGATTCATTATCACACTACCCAGGTAAGTAAGTTTTGTCTTTGTTTTCTGGATTGCTCTGTATCTTGGATGAGTGAAAGAAATATTTTAATTTTAATGATGAGGCTATGTTTTAGTAATAACAAATGTAAAACTTGTGAGAAAATACTTATCACAAATGTTTATCAATTTAAAAATGCACCCATATTTTATCTTCATAAAATGATAGTAAGCACCATGCAGCATTTCCACATTTATACCTTAGGTACCAGGTTGTTCAATAAGTTCGCGGAACGGAAATGAAGAAACCAATTTTTATTGGTAAAAATGACTTTGTTTTTTCAACGTAGTTTCCCTCAATTTCAATACACTTATTCCAACGGTCTTCTAATTTATGGTTCCCTTGACTGTAGTGGTTTTTTCGGCAGCTAAGCAAAATATCCCTCCATGGCAGCTATTACCTCTTCGTTTGAAGAAAATCGTTTCTACGGAGATATTGTTTGAGGTGTGAGAAGAGCCAAAAGTCGGAGGGAGCTAAATCTGGAGAATAGGCTGGATGTTGCAGCAATTCGTACTTCAATTCAGTTATTTTAGCAATGGTTTTCTGATCTGTGTGGGCAGGTGCGTTATCTTGGTGGAAAATGATTTTCTTCTTCTGTAATCCAGGTCTTCTTTCACGAATTGTTTCGTCTAATTGATTCAAAAGGTTACAATAATAATCCGAATTACCGTAATTTCCGGAAGAAAGGCCGCATCACGTAAACGCCGCACTCGAGAAAATTGGCGGGAAAAAAATTAAAATTACACAGAAACGTCGCAATAGATTAAATTGCGCGTGACATCGTCGTAGGCCATATAGATGCAAAAACTCAACCTAAGTCCTGATATATGACATACCAGTTAAGTTTTTAATAATGAACTATAAATAATATTTTTAATTATCGATGTATTGTTTTTTAAAAGATTTACAAGTCTTAAGCTTGCGTTCTGTTGTGTTAAATATATTCTCTTCATCTTAAATCTTCTGAAGTTTAAATAGATAAACGCAGATTATAAAGGTAAATTGTCTATTTGCCCTCTATCAGCAAACTGAAAAAACTGCCTAATATTTCCCTGTAAGTAACCGTAGAAACTAAGGCAATCCACCTTAGCGATTTTTTGAACTTCCAAATATAAGCAAAACATCTAGTCCACTGCCGTTGCATTCCTCAGAAAACCATTCTAACTCCCCGATGAAAATAATAGAATCGCCTCTCTCGTAGGCTGCCGTTTTGGGATGTAGACGCTAGTCTTAAAAACTATCCAACAAGTACTTGTACCCAAACTGATGGGATCTGTATCTGGCAGAATTCCAAGAAAAATCCATTCATGCTGAAGAGGAAATACATCAGAGTTCATTATTGCGAGGCAGGTGGAGTCGTGTCCGCCTTTGAAAAAAATTGCAGTAAAGGCAGGGGTGGGGAGAGGATGGGTCCTGGAAGATTCATCGAATGGCAGAAGAGAGAGACTATTCGAACTGATGAGAATGTTGACTTTGAAAGGGGGGAAGAATGTTATTGTTCTGAGATTCTCATTTAGGGTGAAATAAGGCATGTAGGTCCGTTCAAGGGAAAGAATGTAAACAAAATAACGTTCGCAAAAAGCAACTGAGTGGTCTTTTGTGTGGGAACAGCACCAGTGTATGCACAATGACAAGGCCATCCAAACTATGTACAATGACCATCATAGGAAATATTTTATTTTTAGCGCACCTAAACGCCGCACACGCTGAAAAATTTAAGTTTTAAACACGTAAACGCCGCGGTGTTTCTTCCGGAAATTACGGTAATTGTTTTGCCAGTTTGAAGGTAATCTATAAACAAAATTCCTTTCGCATCCCAAAAAACTGATGCTAACACATTCTTGGCTGATTTTTGCACACGAACTCGCTTCGGCGCTGAAGAGCCGGTTTCACACCACTCCTAAGCCTCCTGTTTCGATTCAGGATCATGATGGTAGACCAAAGTCTCATCCATTGTGATAAATCGATGGATAAAGTCGCTTTTATTTTTCTTAAAATGCTCCAAATGTTGCTGGCAAAGTCGCATCTGAATGTGTTTTTGCTCCATCATTAGAGAATGCGGCACCCATTTAGCACAGAGTTTTTTAAACCCAAATTAACACTCAAAATATTGCTCACTGTGTCTAATGAAATGCCTAAAGCCTCTGTTAAATCTCTTTCAGTCAATCGACGGTCTTCCAATACCATACCTTGTATTTTTCCAATGATTTCCGGTGTTGATGCAGTTTTTGGACATCCCTCTCGTGGATCATCTTCAAGGCTGGTACGACCACTTTTGAATAAACTAACACATTTGCAAACCATTGTTTTTGAAGGAGCAGATTCACCCAACACATTCACCATTTCGGTATGAATTTCCATTGCTTTTAAACCTTTCTTTACAAAGAATTTGATAACTGCACATTGCTCAATTTTATCCATACCTGAAAAAGCCACAACACGTTAGATATAAAGGGCGGTTAAACAATGAATAAATTAACAGATCGAAATGAAACTTTTGATGTGTTCCTAAGAAAGAACACATATGAAAATGGTGTCAAAGTTTTAGGTCTAATATTGACGACTAGATGGTGCTCTGCGAACTTACTGAACAACCTTGTATATTAAATAAAAATGCTAGTGTTCATACACAATGTCTGAAATTCAGAATCACTGGGGTTTCGGAAATTCTGAATTTAAGAAACACAAACTTAAAAATATACAGCGATTGTTTGTGAAGTAATGAAGCATTTTTATGACTTTAAGGGGACAAAAATTTCCGAGAAAAGCTCAAGGGTAATGTTTATTTTGTTATATTAAATATTTCTTTCATCATACATTGTTTAAGCAATGCTGCCTTGTGTTAACATTTTCTCATTCCACTAATTTGGCTTTTTACTTGGCGGTATCTGAAAACCTTCAAATTTCTGGCTACCATTATAATAAAATTTGGTTGTTGTCTATAAATTATGCCAAGCATTTTCAGAAACATCTGCAAACATATTCTCTCATGACCACACTAAAATATTTCATTGAATTTTTAGCCAAACAATATGCAGGACAATTTCATATTGTTGCAGATACTGATGTTTCTCGGCAAAAGAAACCTCAACTAATGCGGAAAAAAGCTGAATTATGAAACTCTTGTTTTTTCCTTATGTATCATATTCTCCATTCTTACACTGGGTAAGAGGAAAATAAAATTTCTCAAAAAAAAAAAAAAAAAAAAAAAAAAAAAAAAAAAAAAAAAATATATATATATATATATATATATCTGAGGTTCAGATAAAATAGATAATTATCAATCATTCCAGTCACCATTACAGATAAAATAGATAATTATCGATCATTCCAGTCACCAGACATCTGGATTTTGGACTTTATGCTATAGTTACTTCAGTGTTTTTAACCTTTTTTAAAAAGGCATACATTTTTAGTTAAGCACTTGATAGCAAAAGGAGCATACCTCTAACATATTAATACATTACCCTTATGAAATTTTAATTCATATCAGAAGTAAAAGATCAATTATTAAAAATTTTAACATATTATGTAAGCTCTTTTATAAAAACAAATAGTTACCTTCATCACCATGAGATAAGTAACAAACAACAAATGCATCATAAAAGGAATGATCCTTTAGTCGTAACTCCTCAAATAAATCAAAAACCTGTTTATCAGTCAAATCACGGTAAATATGTGTTTCAAAGCCAAAGGTTTTCCATACTAGCTTTAGAGCATCTAAATGAGAAAAATGCAATTAATCCTTGTAAAGTGTTAGAAACAAATGCACTACAACATTAAACTTCAAAAGAAATTTGATATTACTAAATAAGCCACCAAACATCTTGTAATAAAAACACTACTCTTAAATAAAAAAATGACCTCATATCAAAAATAAAATGTTTCCTCACAATAATTGTAAAACATGTATTACAAAGAGCGCAAATAAATATTTTGAATTTCCATAAACAGAGACTTAGCAGTTAAAATTCCCTCTAGAGCTTGCAGTCAAGAAATAATATATTTGGTTTCAGGTGAGGTTTTAATATTTCAAGTTATAAAAGATAAGCTAAAACAAAGTTTGAAAAAAAAAAAAAACTTATTTAATGATGTTGTTTTAATAGCCCTCTCAAACAGTTGCATAGCCAATAATGAGAAATATGGACTTCTCAATGGAATTAAAAAAAGTATATTTTATTCACTTCAGACAGATGACACTACAGGCATTTTAAATGATGTGCAGCTGGTGTGTAATATAAGGTATAAGTGTAACAATAACGCTCATAAAAATATGTTACTTTCAAAGATTAAGCCAACATGTACAACTAAAGAAAAAAAATTTAAAGTACTAAAAGACTACATGAAACAATATGAAACTGATTAGAAACATGAGTAAGTTTTTGTTCATATGGGGATCGTGCACTTGCCAGTACGCATATTAGCCTTTCATGCAGTGTTAGATCTGCAGCACCTTAAGCTTTGTTCAGACGAAGGTCTTGTCACCATGAAGCATAAGTGTCACGCCACGATCGAACTCCAAGAAAGGTAAGTTTCTCTGTTATGGAATGGAAATGAGAGAGAGATTGTTTTTTTAAAAAGATGGATGATCGAACTGCGTTGTAACGATCATTTTTGTGGACGTTGCGTATTGTAAAATGAACATATTACACTGTACTAAATAGTATTAAAATGCTATATATTAAAAGATCTTTCATCTGATCTAAATTTTAACAAACCGCTCATTATTTTCTCTTAAACTCACAATGTTCACGACATTTCTGGCGCCCCCGGGTGGGCGTGTTTGTTGGAAACATGTCGGATGAAAGAATAGATAGGGTAAGTTGATTACCTTATACTTCCGTTTTGAAGTTATTGATTATTGTTTTACTGAAGTTTAAAATACTTTTCTTGCCTAATTTTTATCTGAATATTTTAAACTTAAGATGACAAATGGAAGTGATGAAAAGAAACAAAACTGCGCAACGTTCAGCTTTTACTAAAGCATATAAAAGACTAGATGAACTTTTAAATGATGATAATGTTGATTATGAAGAAGCAGAAATGTGTTTTTATTTGTTCAAGAAAAAGGCAGAAACATTAGAATTGACGCACAGTGCTTATTTAGATACTATAACTGATGATAAAGAATTCGAAACAGAATTTGAAATAACAGAGGACTATCGAGAGAAGGCTGTTAGGATACAGTTAAAATCGGAACGATTTCTCGATAATATTAAGAGTAAATTAAACGAAATCCAAAATACATCGTCAGAGAGTAGTCAGAAATTAGTTACTGATGAAAATACATGTAAAACTTTGTGCCAACGCCTACCGAAAGTAGAACTTTATAAGTTCGCAGGTGATTTAAAAAATTGGCTTACGTTTGGGAATCAGTTTAAAAACATACATGAAAATAATAACTTAACGAATGCAGACAAATTCCATTATTTGATACAGTCAACAAAAATTAAATCAGAAGCTAGAGATATTGTAGAATCTTTTCCGGTGACGAACGAAAATTATCCTTTGGCTATAGAAAGCCTTACTGAGAGATATGGCCGTAAAGAACTTTTAATTGATTTTTATGTTCGAGAGTTAATAAAACTTGTTTTGGATAACGCAGCGAAAAAGAAGCAGGATTCTTTGAGTAGTTTGTATAACAAACTTTCAACACAACTTAGAGCCCTGAGCAGTCTTGGTGTGTAACAACGACTGATCAGTGTGGAACAATTTTATATCCCTCTTGTGGAAAGTGCTATTCCTATTCACGTATTGCGATCGTTTGAAAGACAACGAAAAATTACTGAATCTGAACGAAACATTTCGAGTCTTGATGCAATAATTGAATTTCTGAAAAGTTCAGTCAGAATAAAATTAAGCAGAGCGGATATTTTTTCTAAGTCTGATCGTAAGCACTTGGCAACTAGCCAAAATATTCCTTCCGCGTCGGATTTGATGAATCATGAAGCAATACCTTCTTGTTCGTTTTGTTTAAAAGATCATGAAACGCGTAATTGTAAAAAGGCGTTTTATATTCCGTTAGATGAAAAAATGTCTGCGGTAAAAAAGAAAGGTTTATGCAGAATATGCTTGGTTAAAGGTCACCTCAGTAACCAGTGTCGATCAAGTGTTAAGTGTCAGATCTGTTCAAAAAGGCATTTGAAATTTTTTTGTCCTAGTCTTGAATGTAATAAGTCTAGTGAAATGCATAACCAGGAAAATGATGAGAAAAAAGAGAAAACAATCGATTCTTTGCATTCGCGTGCTACGAATGAAGTTTTCCTTCAGACCCTAGTTGTAAACATAGAGGGTAAGAATAAAAGGCGTAAAGTTAGATTAATGATTGATACGGGTAGCTCAAAAAGTTATGTTTTAAAGTCTACTGCAGAAGAAATGGGTTTTGACTTGCAATGGGAGGAAGAATTTAGTCACTCTTTATTTGGTGGAACGAAAACTGAAATTTATAAACATCAAATGTTACAAGATTTATTTGAGTAGCCTTGATGGTAAATATTCGTGTAAATTAGATGCTGTAGACCATGATGTTATTTGTAATGATATTTCAAGCATAAGATACGGTTCTTGGATTCGCGAATTAGGAAATAAAGGAATACGCTTAACTGATACCCAAGGGAATCCAGGCCCTATTGAAGTACTGTTAGGGGCAGACGTTGCAGGGAAGTTATTTACTGGCAAACGAGAAGAACTAAGAACAGGTTTAGTGGCTATAGAAACAAAATTGGGTTGGACTTTGATGGGTAAAGTACCTCAATCCGAACATCAGCACAATGTAAATATGACTATAGTTTCTATGTTATCTCAAGAAGACCTGCCTATTTCATCGTTGTGGGACTTAGAATTATTGGGTATCCGAGATCCTGTTGAACAAAAAACTAAAGAAGAGTCAAGAAGAGCTATTATGGTTCATTTCCAAGAAACAGTTCGTCAATTAGAAAATGGTAGATACGAGGTTGATATGCCTTGGAAGATTGAGCATGCAGTCTTACCTGACAATTATGACCTATCTTTGAAAAGACTCGAATCTACTACGAAGAAGTTGGAAAAAATCGGATATCGTGAAAGGTATCATGAAGTCTTTAATGAATGGCTGCAGGAAGGAGTGATTGAAGAAGTTCCCCAAAAGGAGTTGTCTTTACCCGTTGTTCATTACCTCCCACATCGTCCAGTCATTAAGGAAACGTCCTCACTATCTTCCATGAAAATTAGACCCGTTTTTGATGCTTCGGCAAAGCTTTCTAATCAGCCATCTCTAAATGATTGCTTAGAGACTGGAATTAATTTGATTGAAACTATTCCGTCTATTCTAGCAAGATTTCGCTTACATGAAATTGGTGTGATTTCAGACATCAGAAGAGCTTTTTTTACAGATATCTCTAAATGAAAGAGATCGAGATTTTTTACGATTTCTTTGGTATGGTGATGATGGTAGAGTGAAGACATTTCGTCACACCCGTGTGGTATTTGGCATTACTTGTAGTCCATTTTTGCTGATGGCGGTTATTGACCATCATTTATCCAAAGAATCGTGGAAAGAAAAATATTCTGAAGAATTTCTTAAAAAATTACAAGATAGTTTTTATGTCGATAATTGCGTAACTAGTGTACAAAATAATGACGAACTAGAAATATTCATCGAATCTGCAACTAATGTAATGAAAGAAGGAATGTTTGATCTCAGAGGATGGGAAAGTTCTGGCATTCCTGCATTTTCAGAAAGTAAAACATCACCGGTATTAGGACTGGTTTGGGACAAAGATTTAGATACCTTAGAAATAGACACCGAATTTTTGAAATTTGATGAAAGAGAAAAGGTAACTAAAAGGAAAATGCTTTCACTAGTTAGTCGAGTATTTGATCCCATAGGTTTCCTTGCACCTGTTATGATTCAGCCTAAGATTTTGCTGCAGGCCGCTTGGAAGAGCAAAGAATCATGGGATGATGAAGTGAATGATGAAATAAAGAAGAATTTTTTAAAATGGGGAAAACAACTGAAATACCTCAAAAATATAAAAATTCCAAGATGGTTAGGTGTGATGAAGGAATCCAATTTAAGTATCCATACTTTTGTCGATGCCAGCAAGACAGCTTATGCGGCATGCATTTTCTTAAGAAGTGAATCCAGTATGGGTTCAGTGACTGTTCAATTACTTCAAGCCAAATCACGAATAACTCCAACGAAGACTATTACTATACTATACCACGTCTTGAATTAATGGCCGCTACCATAGGTGCTAGGCTGTTTAGTTCTGTGAAGCAAGCTCTGAAAACTTCCCAACATCAAGACTTACTTTTGGACAGATTCTTCCACAGTTCTTGTGTGGATAACTCGTCGAGAACAGTGGTCGGTATTCGTTACAAACAGAATAAGTGAAATTAGAAAATTGACAACTTCGGAAGATTGGTTCCATATTTCAACTGACCAGAATCCAGCAGACATTTTATCAAGAGGTTGTGGACCTAGGCAACTTCAGAAACGCAAGTGGTGGCAAGGGCCAGCCTGGTTGAAGAATCCGAAGGAGCAGTGGCCAAAGTCAGCTGTAAATATTAACGAGAAAGAAGTAGAGATAGAGAAACGAAAGTCAGTCATCTCTGCTAGTAACACAGAGCTAGAGTCAATTCCATTACAGTTAGCCAGAAGATTCTCTAGATTTTCAAAGATGATTAGGGTTATGGCTTGGATACTGCGTTTTCAACCAAAGGCCAAGGACTTAAGAAAA